CCCCCCCCCACCTCAATCCACTGAAGTCACGACAAAAATATCCCCTTAAAAGAACCACTTATTACATCACCGCGAGGGACCTTCAAGCGTGATCGTGAGAAAGCGTCTGCTCTGGGGATTTGGCATTTCCCCTCCCCCCCAGGACAGGAAGGGGGCACAATAGCTGGACAGCCAGCCTGCTGGTGCAAAGGCTGCCGCACATCCTCAGCCCTGGCTGGAAACGGCATCGGCCCTCGGCGGGTTAGACAAAGCAACGCCCCAAGAGAGGAAGGGACGCTTTTCTTGCTCGTCGTTGCAGAGCGGGGCTTAGAAATGTTCCTTTTACAGGTAGTCCTCGACTACCTACAGTTGAGCCCAAGAGTTCTGTGGTAATCAAGGCAGCTGTTAAATGAGCTTTGCCCATTTTACGATCTTTCTTGTCATCGTTGTTAGGCCAATCACCACAGTTGTGAGTGAATATGGCTTCCTCATTGACTTTGCTTGCCAGAAGGTCGCAAAACGGAATCATGCGACTTCGTTGACACAGCCACCGTCATGAGTCAGTTGCCAAGCATCCGAATTTTGATGACATAGCCACAGGGATGCTGCAACATTGTTAAGTGGAAAAATGGACATAAGTCAAACAGTCTTTGGTCACTAAATGAACTGCTGTAAATCGAGGACTATCTGTAATCACACAATCCCCTTCTGATGGACTACGAAGCCATCTCGACTGGAAAAGCAAACGCTGAGCTACCTATCTTGGAAAGTTATTATGGGATGTCTTCTGAAATGGTTTTGATCTTAGCAAGGATTTGGAGAGATGAGTTGCCATCCAACCAGAAGGAAAAAGAACAAGAATAATTAAATGTTTCTGGTTAGGCATATAATCTGGAATGGAAATTTGATTGTACAGTTATGGCCATCTTCATTTTTTTAACCCCTCCATGTGGTATCACCCTGCTTACTTTATGATTATGTTATTATGGGCTTGCAGTAGAGGTATATACTAACTGTCCCCCCAGGGTATCTGCAGAAGATGGGAGGAGGGAATTCAAGATAATGGGCATGACGGTGAGATCAAAGCAATACGCAACAAAGAGGACACTCGTATTTTAATGACACTTTTGTGGCTGCCAGATTGACCCTACATTCTGCTGAGTCTCATTCCAAATTGACTTGCTATATACTAACAGAGGCATTTCTAGTTTCACAGGTCAGTAATTCATTGCCCCAATTTAACACAGCTCATCTCTCAAGTATGAACTAGAAACTTAATTATTCTTTATGACTTTAAAATTCTTGCTCTGCTACCAGTCATTTTGAGTCCAAAGAAGATCTTGCAAAATTGCACCCCGTGTTTCATTCTTGAGGATGTTGTAACAGATCAATGTGAAGGATTAACGTAAAAGATATGAAAGTCTATTGCAGGATTTCACAACAGCATGGCTGGCTGGGGAATTCTGACATGTCTTAAAGATGCCATGGATGGGAGATTTTGGTCTTTTGTTTATACAAAAAATGCATGGTCATCATCAAAACTATTTGCTCATGGTGGGGAAGATCCCCAAACTGCCTTCTACTCAATCACTTTTCATTGATCTGAAATCCTCATTTTCACTGTTCTTTAATGGGCTGTGCCCAGGAGTGGGCTGGGGGTTGGGGACCACTATTCTAGCCAACCAATACTTCCCTCAGTCAGATGTTTCCCAAGTGAACAAAGCTAAAAAATTTGCTAAGCTGTCTTTGACAAGCTTTGGCAGAAGAAGAAATCAGCAAGAATGCTTCCAAACTCTGCAAATGTCCCAACTTCTTGTGCCTCGAATGAGTTAATTCTGTTATTCTGTTAAATGCTGGGAAATGGTGTACGATCCAGGGGCCTCTTCAAGGAGATGGTTGTAAAACTTTTTTTGCATGGCAGCCCCACCTGCCCCATCTAAACCTTTCCCCCATCACATACGTGATGCCCATCAACATGGCAGGGCCAAGGCTTCAGTTGCATGGATGGTCACCATTTTGAGGCAGCAAAGAAACAAAATGGAAGCCACAGACCTAGAATAACACCAAGGGAAAAAACACGATTTCCTTGGCAGACCTCAGCATGGTTTTCTTTGGACATACAAGTGTTGTGCAAGCAGAAGAAATCATCCCTGTCCTGTTGCTGGCTTGGAGAGCTTCAAACCGAGTGGTTGCCTTGTTGTGATATCCTTCCCTTACGGAAAAAGGTGCTGTCTTCCTCCCACAGGGAAGTGCAGGAAAGTTGGTTGTTCATGGAGGTCCCCCTCCTGTGGCTGAAGCTTTCTGGGCCAGGTGGAGACCGACATGGCTAAAGTCCCAAATCCTGGAAATGTCAACACTACGAGACGGCTGTTCATCTGTCGAGAACATTCCAGGGCTACAGTGTTGACATTTCCAATTATTTCTCTCCCTCCCTCTACCTCTCTCTCCCCCTCTCCCCCCCTAACATCAACTGGATGCTGGCTTGTTTCCAGCTGCAGGAGGGCCAGAAAAATTAAAATAGTGGCTGCACCTGTGGGACTGAAACCCACCCTTTGTGGAGCATGAGACGATTGTGGTGACCATCTTGGCTGTTTTAACAAACCCTTTGCAGATGTCCCTGCAAGCCCCTTGGTGGTTAAGCCCAACTCGCAATACATCACCATATTTCAATTATCTGATTGAACATTATCGTTGTAGGGCCCTAAATCTCTATGTAAAACAGACTTGC